CCCCCTCTTGTGTTACGGGACTCAATATTGATGCTAACCGTCATCGTTTCAATGGTTTCAGTAAGCCGGGGGCACACGGCCAAGCATCCACGCCATTTGGCACGCTGTCGTGTCATATTGCTCCGCTCATAATCGACGCCCTTGCCAAATAGTTGTAATGAATCAGTATTTTGATGCGACCTCTTGAATATTCCATTCCTTTCTAGCTACACTACTGTGTTCTTCCTTTGTGTCACATTCATGGGTATATTAAGAGCGTGAATAGTTGGCGTTTGACCCCTCCTTTTGTCAGGTTTGCACAATCCTCTCTCCTCAAGCAGTTCACCTAATGGCAGTTTTATCCGAGGCGTTTTGACTTATGTTGCCCATTCATTGCTTCTTATCAACTGAGAAGCTAGATCCCGGCCCGTCTCATCGTGGCTTCTGCACTTTTATGCGGAATGGTGGTGCGAAGCCGTGTAGCACCTGTTGTTATGCGGTACTGTACGCAGCACCACTTTTTGGTCACCTTCTGTGAGCTCGGAACTATCTCTTTTTGAAGGGGACAAACGTCTATGCACATAACAAGATCAGGCACGTTCTCGCTTCCTGTCGTAATAGTGATAAATTGCTCCCATCCAAATGCATTTTGCATATTATGAAAATTATCATATCTGGTGGGCAGGTATGCGTGTCCTGTTCAACTTCTGGTAGATTAAGTTCCCAACCTACTATCTTGCGGTCATACTAAATGGAGGATACGCATTCAGATGCATCACTGAGTATGTACTCGTCTTCAGAGGACCCCTTAGGTGCTCTGTACGTGCAACCAAGCAGCACCGTGACATCACTGCAGTGTACTGTAACCCATAAAGGGTCTTCAATTTTACTGGACGCCAACTTTTCTGGCATGAATATATTTAGGGTGTTTAGAAAATATATTAGACGGCCACCCCCTCTCTCCGGCCACGTCTGAAGTGTGTGTGCATTTCGATAATCACCACTGCGCCAGTTATACTCGAATGGCACCAGGACCATGTGATTATTATCCTAGGCTGCCCGAAAATAAGTGACATACCTCTTATTATTGGTAACTTACCCAAGATAGACCTGACATCAATGGTGATGATGTAGAAATAGGGGTATCGAGGGTGACTAAAATCTTTCAGATTGTCGAAAAATTCAGGGTCCGTCTCCCAATCCAGTATGGGATCATGAAACCATACCACATGAGTTTTCGACATCAGCTTCAGTAGCTGGAAAGGAGGATGGTTCAAGAGCGAAACAGGGCAAACCAAGTGAGCTAATAATTTCACCGCGAAGGTCCGAAGGATGTGGAGAAGAAAGGCTTGTAGTAAGGCGAGTTATCAGTTGGAAAAGTCGTTCAGTGAACTGGGGTTGGGCTACGCTCATACAGTCAATGTCATTGGAAGACCCATTGTCCTGGAGTACACTGCCAGCTGTTATCACTGGAGACAGTGCATGGCAGGCGGGCGCGACCTAAGGTATGAGTTGTCAAGTGACCGATTACTTGGCAACCCAGCAGTGGGGGCTCTGCTGGACTCATTTCCATCAACCTGCCATAATCATGTCGTGATATTTGTCATCCACTCGTGTATTAGGGGCCCAGGAGCGGAACGACTAAGGGCACTGTATAAGGAAAGCATACTTACTTTTCACTACACACTCTGTTTAAACTTTCGTGATCACAACTGACGTTGTGCCCCTTGAATCAACTGCGTGGCATCTGTAAGGATTCATTTGGGGATTCACCTCTGCTTTTTCCTAGGTGTTACCTTGCCTGGCAGCGTTCATCAGAAGCGTCCTAGCCTTTCGTAATCTCAACAGCCAGATTTCTTCCCAATAACAGTGATACCCACTCGCCTTAGCCCTGAAAGATTTGACACTGTTACAGAGCTCCTTGAACTTTGAGGCCCTAGGCCAAGATGTACAATGTCGCACTCCTGCGATCAGTGCTACTGATGGAGTTGGTGCGGCTTGTTAGTTGTGAGTCCTCACGTGGTTGGAAACTCTGGACAGTGTCCGTTCAACAACACCCACTTATGACGTAAAAAGCTGTTGGGAGGACGGAGCTTTCGACAAAGACCACAATAAGTTAGGAAAGCACCCTGCCCCACCATGTTCGATGGAACCAACCACTTTTTATGAATAATGGATGACGAGGTGAAATTTTGCTTTGCTCTCGGCAGAACGTAGCTCTATTCCTGCAGCCATTAATGAACATTGAAAGCATTTCTTGTTTAATCTGTGAATGTCTGACACCAGAAGTGCTACAACTACTAAAAAAGAACTGACAATCTTAACTCATGTCTATGCAGACCTTCTTGCTGAATTTTCGTGACTAGTTGACATTTCAATGCTTATTGCTGGCGTACATCCACCAAACCGTTTGGACTTAAGTGTACGTATCCGTCAATGAAAACTGATAGCTAACAACACCAACATATCTAATTGTGGAACCATGTGGACATTCCTAAGTTTAGTCTCTACTAGATAGAAACACCCCATCAACTCCTGCAACCAGAAAGTTTCAGATAAATATCCGGAGTTCAAATGGCTCATACCTTCGCAAATGTGCATGGCCAAAAGTGTTTTGTAGCAATTCGCCACCCTAAAGACATCTTTGGCACCTAGAGCACGCACGTGGCCTTCAACCAGTTAAGGATGGCAGGGATTGAACTCGGCCATGGACTGAAACTAGTCATTATTCAGCCGTCGAAGAGCCCATGGGTGCCACAAACGCGTGTTATGCCAAAAAGTGGGGGAGACGTTTAGTGCGTAGCACGTGCTTTACAACGGCCAAGCGCTGCAGGAAGTGATAACAACGTACAGTACATCTGGCAGGGAAATCCTAGTGGCGTACTATTCCACGTGCCGTTTCTGACGTCTTACCGGGGATCATGTTTTCCAAATTTTCACGAACTAAAAGTCGCTAACTTCCAGTCTGGCCTCAGCGTTCGAAAAGCGCTTGAGACGTGAGCTGCAACAATTGGACTGTGCCTCACAGTTCACCAAAGGTGCCAGTCACGTATCTCAAACAAGTTCCTCTGTGGCTGATACACTGGTTCGAGTGCATTCACTGAACTAAATAAGGGTGGTTGATCTCGCTAAAATGGTTCCTTTTCAGAAAGACGTTACTGGGTCGAACTACGAGTTGCCCTTCGAAACCATGAAACAAAAGTTGCATCCGGTAGTTCCAGAAACATGCTGACGCAACGTCCCCAATAAACCTCACACAAAACCCCATCGTTGCAGCCACCGAGCTAGCTGCACAACACTTTTTCTGGGCTAGGATGAACAAGGACTCCAAAACCGGAGCCGATCATGCTTCATCTGTCGAAATTGTATCGAACCTCCTGGGATCTCTACATGCATCAGGGGCGCATTTTGACCACATTCATATGGATATTGCAGGACCTCTACCGAATAACGGTAGATAAACTCATCTTCTCGCCTATGCATACTGTTTTACCAGCTGGACAGAAGCAGAACATATCAAGAATATTACTTCTGAGACCAGAGCCTGCGTTTGCTTTGAACGATGGTTAGTCGGCTGTAGATGTCTACCTTTCAAAAGAACCGATCGTTGATATCAGTTTTTGTGGGGATTATCCCAAGGTTTAAGCACACTCTTAGTTTGCATTTGACTGCTGGTGATAGCCCGTAACTCGTAAGTCAGTGGTACGGCGAAACGTTCCCACCAGCAGCGGTGACCTGTACACCGGGAGTCAGTATTCCATTAGTTTCAACCTCAAATGTGCCTTCATTCTGATTTCTACTTCTGTGAAACTTTTTATGGAGCCACGAGTCTGTGATTTAAGTTCTAGGTGCAACAAGCGCTGGACTTGGAGCCAAAGAAATGCAAAGGTATAGCATGATGTGGCAATCCAACAACTGTATTACTGCTTGTGACTGCATCCTGGAATACGCTCAGATAACCAGTGGGCACTCCAGGTGGCGATCCCATCATCAGAGTTAGGCTAACGGTGAGACAAGCGAGTTTTTTTCTCCCGACTGGTATCTTCTAAGCGTCTCCATGGACCTAACATGAAGAGGAGTGAGCAGTTGCATCAGATTATGCCGGAAAAATAATGGCCCAAGGCCTGGTGGCATTCCGTGTCGAGAGTGATCCTCATTTTTGACGGGCTAGCAAAACCGTAGACACGCATTCAAGGACCTACGACATTAGGTAAATCGTCACATTACTATGCGACACTAATCAATGCTTTCCCTGACAACTCACACTACTCAGTATTGTTTTATGATTCGTCAAATAAGGGGTTCAAATCCGACTGCGGTCCAGATTTTCATCTCGCCTTCAATCACCACCGAGTATAAATAAAAGGTTCACATCTGGCTGCTTGAGTGCGTCCTCCTTGTTTCTACGCTCGTAATTATTCAACAAATAGGAAGAATAACTAAATAGCCTTCCATTCAGTCAGAATCGTGTTTGGACAAATTCTGAGGGTTGTTTCTGGGTCTCTTAGATGGAGTCCCAACAACACGTACTGGGGATTGCTTAATGTCATTCTTAAGTCACCTAACTGATCCACTTTTGTAGGCATACAGCTCTCCTATTTCCTCTTACTGTCGCTACTTTACCAAACTATTTGCTTTATACCTAATATTTTCGCGTACTCTACGAGTGATGTGCTCAAAAGTCTGCATTTTCAGGGACGGATTAGGGCTGGAATGATTTTGTTTGTCTGTCTTAGTAGCTTTTCAGTTTCACTAGTTGCTAACCTCAAAAGGTACAACAGTATAACCATAAACAGTAGAACAGCAAAGAATCCACCCAAACTATGGCAGTGCATACTAATAAAAGAAAACAAGCTTCCAGATGTAGATATTAATGACTGAAAACTTGCTGTATCCGTGGTCACATAATTGATTTGAAATTTAGCATCGATTGCAATTGTTTGAGTTATTCGCATTAGTTTTACTTGCAGAGGCATTGTACGTAACCTTTTCGATTTAGACGCTACGTTTCGATTTGTTTGGAGGACTTAACGTTTTTCCTATTGGTAATATTTTCAGCGCATATTACTCACTGAAAATCTTTTGCTTTTGAATATTTTGGCGGCTGATAAATTCATAATTTCCTCAACTGCTCACTAGATTCATCAGAAATAGGTCATCTTATCACAGACCTATTGACTTTGGCTTGATCAATTAAAATTATGTAGCTTAGGATATAAATCCTTATACGCATTCATCAATGATGGTTTCAACTATTCATAAAATTGTTGCTTATGCCACTACTGCGCTTAGTAAGGATACGTCTACGAATCAAAATCGTTGAAAGTATTAGTTACTCAGTAATGTAAGGATAGCTCAGAACGAGGATGAAAGTTGTTTGATATTCTTCTTCTTTCTAAATAAAACATTGGTGAAGTCACTTAATCGGGTGATAGAGTGTTCACGAATCCTTGTGGAAAAAAGATCATATTAAAGAATGTTTTGTCAGCGTAATTGCCAAAGTCGGAAGCCTCGTCTTTTTATTTAACTCATGTGGTCTTTTTAAAGACTTCATTTCAATCACAAATAGGTAACGATTATAGATATCAGTTTCCGTAGATAATGTTTAGGCTTAATTTTCTTCCCCTATCTTAGTTTCTTCGGTAGTGTTGTTAGTGAAACCGCATATGTCCATATTGGATGGATGCTCAACCATACGATGACTCACTATATATTTCATTCTTTGAATTTGTTTTTAAGTACCTATATGCCGTTAAATTGCTTAACAACTGGGCAGATTTTAAGCAGATAACGCTTTATTTCAAAATTTAATATCTTATATTTGAAACCTTATTTTTGTTTCACTTTTTTATGACCAAATAGTGATCACAGTTTGACTGTTGTCTTAAACCCAAGTTATTCTAAAGTATGTGTGCCAGTCATGTACACTTCGTGCACCTTTTAACGTTTCGGAGTGTTTTGAATTTTTATTCATTCAAATAGTAGTTTTCAACTAAATAATGACAATTTCTGGAATTTAAAACAAAAGTTCTAATCAATGCAAAGTGCCGCTGTTAAAAGTTCGGTTCTACTTGTTGTCTGTGGTCATCATAATTGTCTCGCAATTAATGTTTATGTGGATTATCGGGAGATAATTTATGAAAATGTCAATATTGTGTTCTATTTCATACACTAACTTGCTGATCAAACCGGAAAATCCTACGTGTGGCCATCTCTCTTTCTTTTGCAGAACCAATGGAACCTCCGCCAAGACTATACACTTATGAGGGTCTGTTCTCTGAAAGTCGATCACTGGACTTAACTTTAAAAATTTTATCGACTTTGTTATCGTTTCTAGTATTCTTGATCGCGGTGGCTTGGCATATCACAAAAAAGGTGAGTGATTATAGTTGCTTGGTTTCAGTTTCGGAGTATCATACTAATCCTCCAGTTGATAAACGCTTGAATTTCCAAAGTTTTGACGACCTGTGTAAAAATGGCGCATTCTGCTTGACGTCATCCTCTGCATCCAGGAAACAAAAGTCTCCAATTGTAAGAGGCTATTTAAATGATCAAAGGGTGCTGTTTATCGAAGACTGGAAAGTAATCATTCTTTATAGTCAATCTCCTCTGTTGGATTTGCATTATTCCCTAGCTCCAAGTAAGTTCTAGATAAAGTTTATGGTTTCTATGTTTTTAGCTATTTATTTCACATGTAATTATAGTTGTACTAGTTTTCCTTGTGTTGCAGGATTGTAGAATATGTTCTTCTTCAGTTATTTGCTGGCTAAAACAATCAATTTATCTCCTTAGGGTACTTAATTTGTGCTTCTGGAAAAGCTAGATTCACTGTATTTTTGAAACCAAACCGCTATCTTAAAACCGATCTTTAAGTAACTGCATTTATCAGCGTTTGACATCCATCACACTTTAATGGACAACAGAATGATGAGTTTTATCACAACTCTTTTTAAACAATGTATCCGCCGGGTTGCCGCTACTTTCGGGATGGAAAGTATTTGTTACCTATGGTCAAATTAAAACCTTTAGTTCTTGATAAATTACATTTAGACTACCTCAATTTTCGAGAAAGTTTGAGTCTAGGTATAACAGAAATTTGCTATTTTAAACTATAAGTATTTTGGCGTTGGATGTTGAAAGTCAACCAACAAGATATCGTGGAACCAAGTTTCGTTACTTCATAGGACTCAACAGCGAGGTGGATCTTCAAAATTAGGGAAACTGGTGTTCTGTCAGTGATTCAAATCTGCCCTGCTCAGTGCTGAAGATAGAAATTTTGCCAGAAACTTATTCAGCTTACGACTGGCCCTCTGTAGAAATAGATTATCTACATTACTTGGTCATCAGTGAATAACCGATGTAGTTATTTAGTCCTTAACACTCAACATTGACCAAGTTTCTGATGTGGCCACCGAGTGATGGAACATTGTAATACACTGCATTTTAGCGTTATATGTTGGGATTAAATTGACAGAAAGCCTTAGCACTAGGTTTCCCAGTTGTTGGCACACATCAGAAATATCTCATGCCAAAACACAGTACACTACAGTGTTTTGTCTCTTAGCTTAGTGACTATATTGAAAAATCGGTTGACAGAATTTAATCAGTGCTGACTATTGAGAACTACATACCTCCATGTTGCCCAGTGGCGACTGACATGTGTGTACGTATTTACTCACAGTTTAATCAAGGAGCTGCGAGAAGAGACCTAAAGATGTTGGAGAACAATGTGATATGGTATACGATATGATATACGTGCAGTTCTAAGCATCATATAGTATGTTTTAAATACTAGCTGACTTCTCAAACATTGATAGCTTCATTGGCCTTCGAACCCTCGACATACTTGTTGGAAGTGGACTACTTAGGTCAATCAATCGTAGAGCTACACCTTTCAGTAAGTAACCAGGGTTATTTCTAGTGAGCTATAATTCGTTAGCAACTAAACACACTGCTTGTAATAGATTATTTGGATAATATTAGCACACGACAAAAGTAGGCAGATTTTCAAATGTTGTACATTAAATGGCATTGTGTAACATTTTCATTACATTAAATGACCAAACCATTTGTTGATGCATACTTCTGTTCTAGCTTAGCAGCTTTCATAACAGCAAATAAAACTGTTCGACTGATCCGCTGGTTTTTAGCTTTCGATAAAATTCTCTGTCAGAGTATACCCTGAAACTATTGACGATTGTCCACATTTTCCATTCACCGAATGGATCGAATTCAAAACGAGAAATTCGAAAGCCTTTTACTTTGCTTAGATCTACAGCTACGGTGTTGATACAATTAAGCAGCATATTCATAGATACTTAGGTTTCAAAATGAGGTTTGTAGTTTACAGTTAGTTGTCCGTTTCTTTCCAATGATTAGGTTCTTTCGTTGATAGGTATATTGGGTTGCGTCACATATCTAATTGAGAAAGCTCTTGCTGAGTTTTAAGACTTCATTTTTTTATCTTGATTTAACAGTGTTGTGCTGGTGTAAAGTGTAACAACTCGGTCTAATATACCATTGTATCCAGTCTTACTTTCTTGTAGTGTATGTAAAAAACAATGCTTCAAAAATTTCAGCTGCAAATTACCTAGAAATTACTTAAAATTTTCGAAAGTAGTGAAGGATATACAGTTGTATATAAATACAACAAATACGTAAAAAATAATAAATTCCTGCATAACAACGTTTTTATGAGGGTTCAGTTGTAATTGTTGCTTCATCTTCTTATGCGTAAACAGTGGGTTGCATTATGTATATATATATATATATATATATATATATATATATATATATATATATATATATATATATATATATATATATATATAATGTTAAAATCCACGTGTATCCAATTACAAAATCCGAAGTATAACGAATCATATCATACATCCTACTGACCGTTAAGCTTCATTGTATATTGTTTTGTAGTCTCAGTGTCAATATAATGGGCAAATACCATTCTTAGTCTTAAGCAAAGTGAATTGAAGCTAACAGGCAACACATCAAAACACGAGCAAAAATTGTTTTTGGATAGACAGTTAGTCCCATAGACCTAATAACCTTGACTGAGAGTATGTGAATTACCTTGTTCAAGGGGTGATTTGGGTATTTACTAGTTCAATGGATCTATTTTTTTGCATACAGGTCACATTTATACATAACCTGATTCCAGTATACAAACTTTATCTTTAGGCTCAAACCAAGATTGATAATGCTAAATTTCAACTATTTTTTTAGAATCTTTCAGACGAAAATGGTATGGCTTAATGATTGCTGATGATACATTACAGTTTAGATCTGAGTTGAATGAACTCGTAATTTTAGCATTTAATGCTTTACCAATTAAAACGTTTGAACGTATCGGACATTTGGCAGCTGATCCTAAAGCCTTCGGTTCTGTGTTGATTAGCAATGACTGTGCAACATTTAATGAACGTTTAGATAAATGGATATGTAATATATATTCAGAAATATTCTTCTTTGGTCCATCTGAGGTATTTTACGAGTTTGCACCAGACAGTACATCGTATTTGCAAAAAGAAAAGTTTATCTCACAACTAAGAGAACATATAACTTCACTTGAACTATTGCATACACGTGGATACTGCAAAAACGCATCAAATGTATTCAAAACTGTCCGATCACTTTTGAACACTACCTCATCTTATGATGGCAACAAATTGATAACTGTGTTTCATAATCTTATTAATCCACTGATTCACTATTATTTGGAAAATATTTATCTTCAGAAGAACAGTACGCAAGGCGGTCAAATGATCATCATTCAGACCAGATAACTGAAAGTAATAACAATGATGATGATGATGTAGAACACTCGCAAAGAAACACAAAGTCAACAAACTTGTTGCTTCAACTAATCAGTACATACCACGTTTTGAAAGAGGAAGGCAGTTCAAGTGAATTTCTAACTTTAACACATATTATTCATGTACTCAGTGAATGTTGTCTACTAACTAGGTATACATTAAACAAAACTCTGAAAGTATTGTTAAAAATATTGGCTGTCAAGCCTAAATGGCAACATAACATAAGGAGAGAATGCAGACAATTTTTACAAATGCGTTATGATCAGACTAAGTTAGACTCTTTATCATGCAACCACTATCCAGTGAGTTGAGATTTTGTGATTCTTTTTATCTAGATTTACCAGCATACATAAGTCGATTAATTTCCATGCTATGCTTTATGTTAAACGAATTCCACAGTGTAGGCAGCCGGGAAATGTCACCCGCCCGCACGCTCCCGGCAATTTACAAAACTCAGTCATCTATAGCCTAACCTCCCTATCTTTGTCTCTCCCGTCGCCTTCCCTTGCTGATACCAGTTTCGAATGTCTTCTTCAATCTCTCACTCTACTGTGTCCAAAATCAATGATCGAAGCCATCGAAAAACAATTCCTAGTTCACTAAGGCCCCGCTGCCAAGTCCATATTAGATTCCCTAACACTTTAACATTATACCACACCGAAGAGCAGGCATCTCTTGCAAGAATTCTAGGATATTGGACGATGGACCTTCGGTGTATTCCTAGGACACGTATACAGGATCTGAGTGTGGTTATTAAATTAACCTCACCTGCCAATGTGGTGAATAATCAAACTTCACTTTACGAATGTCCAGAGATTTAGAGACTAGCTCTCGTAAACCTGTTGGTGTAGGCTAACATTAACTTGCAGAACAGAAAATGCACTTCTCTACTGAATACCAATCAACAACCGTCTGTATGCTGTTCAAACAAATGGATTTGTAAGAATTAGGAGGGATTATGACGCTTGCTAATGCCTATTCATAATCTCCACCTAGGCGCACACCGACTGCAGTTCGAAGGACAAAAATGACAGGTTCTATCAAGTCATCAATTTAGCTACACAAAGTAAAACGTTCACATATAGTCGTATTGATCAGGTGACTTGAACGCTCCTATAGGAAAGCTGAATCAGTGGGTATCTGGAAGGTATCTACGGAATCCTATGTCAACGAACAAACAGTGTTGGTTGTCTCGTGTAAATTGACATGATGATTGCTTGTTTCTGATCAGCACTAACTTCAAACATAAGGAGCGATAAATGGTGTCCACCGACATCAAACTGATGATGGACACAGATAGACTATACTGCTATAAGCCATCATTGGAGAGGGTCGGTTGAAGATTGCCGCTTCTTCTGGAGCTCCTGTTTGGAATCCGATCACGCTTTAGTATGGTAACATGTATCTCTGCACCTTATTCTTCTGTAAAAACCGGCGGCAGTGGAGCTTGTGAGTGGTCGATAGGAAGATGAGAAGGTGAAGTACGTATTTAGGGAGGAGATAGCTAAGCGTTAACCTGAGTATGGTTAATGGATGGATATTGGACTTATTGCGCAAATGTAACAGTATTCGACCCAGTAGCCTCACCATGGCTCTCAAAACCATCAGTCACTAGTGAAAGACAGAGATATCAGTCACTTACTGTATCAACACAATATTTAGTCATAAAAATATTCTTTATTTTTCTAGTCGTATCTCTGCATGTCCCTAAAGCATACGCAATGTTTGGTTTATACAAAAGCTCTAATTCAAGAAACACTGCGTTTATGTTTACTCGGTTGGCCTTTTGGTTGTTTGCGTCAAGCTTTGCGTGATGGAGAAATTATGGGACAAGATTTTGGTGAAGGTGAACTAGTGCTTTTCGATGAACCTTCTTACTACTCTGATTCAGATTTATGGACTACAAATGTAAGTAACGATGCGAATGGAGAAACATGCATGGAAAATAAAGCTTATCAAATACTTGACCCGAAACGTTTTATTGAAGAGTTATCAAATGAAAACTCAAGTATGCAAGAGTTGATTTTACCTGTGCATTGGGTCCGTAACATCCTTCAAGGATATACTGTATGCATACCTCATCGATTCAATTATTTATTATTGACCACAACTCTAGTACACCTATTTGGAACTGCTTGGGAGTCATATGTGATAGATGAAACAATTGAACTTGAACTCAATGATGAACCTTTAAAGTGGTCCAATGATTTGCCTGAGATTGACCTTAGAATTAACTCCTTGTAATGTTATAATTCGACTTCTGAAAAATAGACCAGTCAATGTTTTTTCATCAATGTACATAATTTTACTCAAATATAAAACTTTATATTTCAGCATAAATTGTCAAATGTTTGGAAGTTACAGTGGGAATCAAAGAAATAGGACTTTTGAACTAGTCATATGGAATTTGTTGACGAGATGATGGTGGTGCACGTGGTTTGTTTAAAAATTGATCCCAAACAGCATTCTTCACAGGGTATATGACTGTCAACTTGTCAATCAACTGATCATATGTCAGTTGCGTTATTGGAACATCAGTTTCGGTGCCCTATAAAAGTAAATATAAGACAGTGAATATGGTGAAAAAAGGCTGCAGTATATGCATATGTGCATCACAGTGAAGTAGAAAATGGAGTTTCTGATGTATTACTGCCTCATGGGTATGGATAATCTATGGTTGTGTACATAAAATAACTCTAGAAATAAAGCATCGTACTGATAATAGCCTATTTGTAAAGAAGAAGACGGAGCAAATACGTGACGATACCAATCTCAACACCCCAAAATCTGAGTTGACTGTGTCTTTTGACCGGATTTGTCAATCTTTTTCCCTTTATATATCAGTGAACGCCTTATTTTGTTTATTAATAACAAACTGGTAGCTGGCAGTTGTTGATCCGCACTCATTTCGGTAAAACACCCACAACTTAATCAGTGAGTAACTGTTCTTGATTAACTTGATGCAGTAACGACATTAAGTGTATGGGAAGTCAACTCACAAATGGTTATTGTTTTTGGGTCTATGTGGTAATGGTTAAAAACTAATGGTTTAAAATAACAAAAATATGGTTTTTTTTACTTGCTGACGAGCAATCAATGTTTCATTTAGTAGTAATTCTAAGAGACAATTAAGAGCTAACCATATTTGAATCTCCAAACCATGCAATTATCGCCAGGTGATTGTGTGGTAGAGCATGCTTTTCGAACACCCAATTTTCCGTCGCTTTATCTGCATACTTATTATGTATGAACAGTTTACCATCATCCGATGATTTACATTCTATTGTCCGTAAGGGAATGCGCAGTCCACAACCCAAGGCTTTGACATATGCTTCTTTGAGGCACTGGAAGAAATAATAAATCACATTCTGAAACTCTTGATAATAATATTCGTGACATTTATCATTTGCTCTACTTAACAATATATACTGTGAAGTACAGGTACCAACTGAAAATATCCACTTCATCATTTATTATGCCACGGGTTAAAGGGCTATGATATGTATCACAATTTTCAAACAACTGGTCACTCTCATTGAAGCAATGGGACTCAGAATGAAAATGCATTTTGTGGAAAATATATATCTATGATAGTGAACCTCACTTTGTATGGTAAGCGGAAACTAGGTGATTGGGATAAGGTTGTTCATTGAAAAAGGAAAACAAGTAAATACCATTTATTACTGATAAGAATTTCGAAAAATGACAAGACAATGTAGTCTTTGTGAACTAGTAAACGTTACACTTAAGAGAAAATATATCAAAAAGCTTGAAATATCATTTCTCCCAATAATACCAAACTAGAGGAGCAATCCAAACAAAAAACAGAAGCGATAAGTAAAAATTTGATAGATACAGGATGGGTTCAAATAATAAGATATCTATATGCAATTCAGATGGAAATATTTCTGCAGGTAATCAGGGTGAATATTTAGATGTAAACGACTACACGAATATCATCGATTTAAGTGAACTCATCTTCTTTCAACTAATTGCGAGCTAGGAGATATTAAGGGGTTGCTCAAAATATCGGCTTCAAAAACAACAAAATAATATACTAACTAGTCATCATAATAGTTCTGATAATACGCGTATGTGATGCAAAGGACAAACGTCAGTGGTCGACATATACAGGATGTTGTTGTGGCGGGTAGAAATGTACTTTTACAGTCACTGTTATTAATTGACTAAGTGCCTAGAGGCTCAGATTACCCTCAATTGATTACTTGTTATCTGATGCATATTTTATTGCTGTTATTCTGGTTACACGTTTGCACATAATGAACAATATCTTTCAAGATAAGGTACAAAAAACAGTCAGCTGGTCAATAGCTATGTTTCAATATTTCTTCAGATAGGTTTTATGGACAATCATCACAACGCGCGTATAAACTTACAGCTATGAGTAAATATATACTTGCCTACTTCAGTTTAGTATTTTAACTCATACTCGAGATAGCAAACAACGGACATGAATAAGTAGTTTGTAAAAATTTGTCAGCAAAGACCGCTAACGGATATCGCTAATCGATTATTATTCCTGATGAAAATTTAAAAAGCGACTTTTCTAAGCAGACTACACATTACTTCGTCTTCATCAAACTTTTTACAGTGAATTTCAACATCGAAATACGCGCTCTAACTATTTTCTGATAACCACTGACTTAGTTTCTTTATGAACACAGATTTTGGATTTGGGGTCGATACTTCTACAAACGACAAGTTCAGTATCCCAAGTTAGACTTGATAAAAAGTATTTTTACTTACCAGTCATGCATAGTTCGCTTTAGGTGTCTTGGTGTTTGACAGTTTCAATTTATGATAGCGAAAACCTTCTTGAGATAACCACAAGATAGTCTGTAAAATGTCTAAAATCCTTGCAGTCATAGCCATCCACTATGTAACCGAGGTTCAGAAGTCACCAGCTAAAGAAAACCCTAAATGCTCTGAACCTCATCCAAGTTTCGTCAAACAGATCAATATAGATTGTCTGGCTCGCTTCTCATCCACTGACTTGTAGTCAGTTGTAAGGCCATACCATAGCACTTTTCTGAAGGACAGATAGTATAATAACCCAACCACGACCCCGAAAGGATGTCTGAATACTAGTCAAAAGGAAGTATATCCTACAGATGTCACGTGCACTGGGAATATAAGATATTTAAAACAATTAGTTTCCTTTATTTGAAAGGCCACTGAGCCAAAATACGACAGTATTATATGAAGTCACGCTTATACTAAGTCATGCTGCGAATTACAGACTAACTGGTTAAGATTTGCAAAATACCGGTAGTAGATAATGGGTGATGACCGAAGGTGAAATGAAAATCTGTGTCGCGGCAGGGTTCAAATTAGTGGTCCCTAAGTTACCGACCTGGTGTTCTAGCTACTAAGCTAGGTCTTAACCCCACTTCTGTCCACCAGGGTGCTACCCGGGCTACTATGTGAACCCACGAGTGACAGAGATATTCAGTATAACGCACACCTCATGATTGCGAACTGTTCTATACCAAACAAGGAGCATACGAATACGTCTTACAATAATTAAATTCTACTTACCCAGTGTTCATAAAATCGCTTTATCCGATCAGTTTCTGAGACAGGAGATAAAATTCGGTCCAGTTCTACCGGGGAGAATACGTTTTTCATTTTCAATACAAAGTCATTTACGGACTTTTGAAATGCTGATTGAAGATGTTCAAAAACAAAACATTCAGAATAAGGATACTACCTAAGATTCGAAAGGTTTATTTGCATCATCAGTAGAAGTCAAACTATACTTAATGATTTGTTTGACAACAGCCGAAGGAATGGATCTATCTTAGTTTGTAGTTATGACCAGTGTAGAGTAAGCAGAAGACAGTTCATTCTGATTTCGTGTTGAAATGCAGTCAGTAACCACGTGATCATTCACACAGTATGCATTGTCACACCTATAGTGAGGGCTGCTCTTACTACTCATCTGCCCAAACTACAGTATGTGGGGCGAAGTTAGAGGCCAGGACCCGCCAGTTGGTGGTCGAGTGCTCAAGCCGATGGTCCCCTCGGTCACACAATAATGCAACGCGTTTCATGTAATCAGCATACGCAGTTTTACACTTAGATGCTGTCAACTATAAATAAAACCTCTTGCTCAGTACTGTTGAGAACTGTCTCCATATCAAAGAACATGACTAGCGAGCAGCATAGGAGCATCTGTATACTTTTTAAATGCTGAAAACACTTAAAATGCTAAGCATGATTCTAAAACAATGCTGGCTAGAAAGTATATTGACCAGAAAAAGCTTTGATGGAAATATTGGCATCAAACAAAAATGTTTGAAGTGTTAGGCAACTAACTGATTACTATACAACTAGGCGATAATTGTGGGTTATATCTACAAAACATACATATGAACATGTAAGTCAGTAAGCTATATCACGGATTTGCTGACAGACCTCAAGTTAGATTTAGACTGGAAATTTAGAGAAGGCATAAACCACAGCCGTATAGCTTGGAATGCCATATTTCTGGCATCCTTTGGCACAAAAATATCAAAACAAGTGACAGGCAATCTTCCAAATATACTTTATGAGTGTCCAGAGATTTAGAGACTAGCTCTCGTAAACCTGTTGGTGTAGGCTAACATTAACTTGCAGAACAGAAAATGCACTTCTCTACTGAATACCAATCAACAACCGTCTGTATGCTGTTCAAACAAATGGATTTGTAAGAATTAGGAGGGATTATGACGCTTGCTAATGCCTATTCATAATCTCCACCTAGGCACACACCGACTGCAGTTCGAGGGACAAAAATGACAGGTTTTATCAAGTCATCAATTTAGCTACACAAAGTAAAACGTTCACATATAGTCGTATTGATCAGGTGACTTGAACGCTCCTATAGGAAAGCTGAATCAGTGGGTATCTGGAAGGTATCTACGGAATCCTATGTCAACGAACAAACAGTGTTGGTTGTCTCGTGTAAATTGACATGATGATTGCTTGTTTCTGATCAGCACTAACTTCAAACATAAGGAGCGATAAATGGTGTCCACCGACATCAAACTGATGATGGACACAGATAGACTATACTGCTATAAGCCATCATTGGAGAGGGTCGGTTGAAGATTGCCGCTTCTTCTGGAGCTCCTGTTTGGAATCCGATCACGCTTTAGTATGGTAACATGTATCTCTGCACCTTATTCTTCTGTAAAAACCGGCGGCAGTGGAGCTTGTGAGTGGTCGATAGGAAGATGAGAAGGTGAAGTACGTATTTAGGGAGGAGATAGCTAAGCGTTAACCTGAGCATGGTTAATGGATGGATATTGGACTTATTGCGCAAATGTAACAGTATTCGACCCAGTAGCCTCACCATGGCTCTCAAAACCACCAGTCACTAGTGAAAGACAGAGATATCAGTCACTTACTGTATCAACACAATATTTAGTCATAAAAATATTCTTTATTTTTCTAGTCGTATCTCTGCATGTCCCTAAAGCATACGCAATGTTTGGTTTATACAAAAGCTCTAATTCAAGAAACACTGCGTTCATGCTGCGTTTAAGTTGGGAAGGCTGTTTCAAACTTGAAACGGCACAAAGCAACATCACTTGACGGCTTGCCACTAGAAGTTTGTAAGGAACGGGATAAGAAATGATTAGGTTGAGTAACTGGGGTGCTAAGTAGCTTATGAGAATCAGGTAGTCTCATCAGACTGGTCTACTTCACAGTGCATAAAAAGGAAGAGACATCTTATTGTCGCAAGCATAGAAGCATCAGTCTAACTAACAACAGCGTCTCCAAAATCCTAGTCCACAGTTATCCAACGCTTTACTTGAGCTGAAAAATAGCAAACTCATGGAAAGCAAGCAGATTTCACACCTGAATGAGGGTGCATCGATCAGATGTTCACCTCTCATCAGGTTAGGGAACATAAGCGTTTTTACTGGCGCCCGACACTTACCATATGTTTTGACCTGAAGGCGCCATCTGACTCCGCCAACCGGGCGTGATATGGCAATTTCTGGCTGTAGAGGGAGTGCTGAGCAAGTGTTTTGGGCTAATCAAAGTTCTCTACTCGAACTGACGCAGCCGTGTAAGGGTATGTGGGGGAGCTGTCGTCTAAAGTGATGACAACCAGTGGTATCTGTCGTGGATGCCTGCTGTCACCGTTCCTTTTTCACTTTGCTACTGATGCATTAACGGACATAACCTAAGGTGCGTCTAACTTCGCAGACATTGATCTACTCTTTAGAGGGCAAATAGTTGGTCTGAAATACGCAGCTGGTATTATCATACTAAATACAAACGCTGACAAAATTCAGAGTTATCTCTGCAGCCAGCTCGATTTTGGACCCTTATTTAAGGATTTAGAACATAGGTATCTCCGAAGTACTGCCCGTGAATGATGTAATGTTTGTAACAGCACTTACGGTTAAGTGAGGGGTACTAGACAGGAAATGCAAGTCTGTCAATGAAGTGGTGAACCTTCACTGACTGAGATGGTTTGCAAGTGTGTTGCGCATACCCAGCCACCGCCTGCCTTGATGTACATTGCCAGCCAAAGTTGGAATAGACTGGAAAAAGGTTCAGAATAACCAGGCAGACTTGGCAGCAGTTGATGAAGTTTGTGAACTGTGTAGGGATGTGTAGACTGCCTGACTGGAGTCTTCAAGATAAAAATCAATGATGTGAGACCGTTGGTGATCTGGCTCGAAATCGGTCACAATGGCGAAGGCTTATTCATTCTTTGACGTCTTATGAAGTATAATAATTTTCAATGACCTTCATTTAATAAATTTTTTTCCTACTAGTCGTCTTTGAGCAGTTTGATATCACTCTTTCAACATACTTGTTCTTCACATCCTACTGTTGTATGGAAATTCGAACCGATGCAATTTATGAGGTTTTCTACGTTGGTTACGTAAACTATGTGCTCATTGCAAAAATGTGCTTTAAAAATACATGGGACCCGATAACAGAACTAAAGCCTACAATCACTTACTCTTTCAGTGTCGCTATTTATTGCCATAAAAACACACCATGAAACACCCGGGAATAAAATAAAGTAGAGGGTGAAATGACTTTATTTCTTGAGTGTTTGTCATTCTCATATATATATATATATATATATATATATATATATATATATATATATATGAGAGAGAGAGAGAATGACAAACAACTGCTGAAATGCCTGTAGCATCTCATTATTCATATAATACCTTAGGCATTTAGAGGTTAGTGGAGCTGCGTCTGATTAATCTTGCTACTTAGTTACCATATATCATTCGTTGGTGAATTAATTATTAGAATCTTTTTATTTAGAGCTGGAAACGAATTAAGCAACCAATAATGTATTAACGACATGGTTGCCCGAGTTGACTAAATGACAGGAAACTGACGTGGAAGTTCTACACGCATGACATCAGCGCCACATCGACCTTTAGAAGTTGCTGCAATGATAGTAAAGTCACCACCATGTGAAATATTGAAGTCTAGCATGTCACAGTGATTTAGCAGAAAAGGTCTCCCTTCAAGAGTACGATCCAGTTTAACATCATATGGACAAATTCCAAGATTTCGCACAGCTGTCCCACGAACAAGTAACTTCCCTGCCTATAAATTTGCATAAAAATGTATTTATGTTGACATACCATGGAGCTTAGTACATCACGCTGATAAGCGAAGCGCAGAGCCACTTCCTGTTCATTTAACGAGATACACCCAAGAGCAAAAAGGAAGTCGGACTTAGTGGGTGACCACAAACCATGACAAAATGCTTGTCGAATGGTTGTATTCATGGAGATGAAATGAATAGATTTTAGGCGCCGTCAATTTACCAGTATCCATAATCCATAGTTTTCCACGTCGTGTGTTGTATCTTCGTATTCATTCGAAAATTCTATTAGTTTAATATCTGATAAAGATAAAGATTATTTTAAAATTCTTCTAATTTCGTAAATATACTTTTAAACATTTTTACCCAAAAATACTGAAATCACATAAGAAAGTATAGTTTCCGCTTTCTGTAATAAGGATAGTAGGCCAGTTGGCCCATACTATTCCCTGCAAAACATATCACTGTGAAAACCAAGTTTCTCCTTGAACGAAGGTGCTGATACTACTTGCTGACGTAAGGAGTTCCAGTCGTTGACCATACGGTAGAAACAAAGAATCATGCTAAGCTGACTCGATGGATGCGTGATGCCTTCAGAGACAATTAATCCTAGCAGGAGAATAATAAGGAATTATTGTTCAGTACAGAATATTATAAAATACAGCTGTAAACTAAACTTTAGCTACTAAAAGGGTTAAAGGGTGGATACCACCTCCATAAAGTTATTAGGAGAGTGGCGAAAGCTACAATAAAAAGAAACGTGAGGATATTATAAAGGTTATCCGCAAACGAATGCCATTGGCCAATTTTTATCCGACCTTGGATAACAGAAATGATGCGCGTTTCTCGTGTCAACACCCAATATCTGTTTAACGAGCTTGTATAAAACAGTTGATTACCTCATGCTCACTTCTTGGTCTTGCGGAACACTTTCAGGTATTTGGTGGATTTCGATACGGTAGATCCAGCCACTTGTCTGCTATAGCTCTGGTATATAGAACAGGAGCTAAGTGTTGCTTAGTTCGCCTTGTACTGTAGTACAGTTGGCTTATTCAGATGTCAAGTCGCCAGACCGTAGTTCAGATTGGTCGTTAGAGGGAATTAGGGACAGCGAAGAGAAAACCTGGGAAGGAAAATTTGTATGAGTAAAAGGGAAAAGAGAAGCGAACTGATGGAGTAATCTTCTTGCATCCAGTTGAGGAGAGTGGGGATGTCAAAAAACTATGAAGAATTTAGGTAGGTAAGGCTAACTCATGGCAAGTGGAAGGAGGTGAAAAAGGCTTAAATGGTTACCGTAGAAATAAAACCTGTTGTCGAGGTAAAATAGTTGGAATGGCGTGACACCAGTTGATTTGTTCTGTTTAGTTCGTGTTCCAGTTATATGCAGGCAGACCGTGGGTCTCTGTGTGACTGTCTGGCCTTTTCTTGAAACTTTCAATGGATGAGGCAGGAGCTACCTCAACTGGTAATCCATTCCAGTACCTGCAGACTCGGAGGGGGGAGAAATGCTAAACAAATGAGTTTTGAACTTTAATGGGTTATTCTCTAAGGGTTCCAAAGTAGATCATCATAGTGGCCACACGGTAGTAATCCTCTGTTCGGGTGACTTGGGTTGTTCACCATTTTGTAAGCCATTTTCCAGTCACCTCATAACCTACGGTAGCTAAGAGAGTATAGGCCGAGGTCTTTTAGTCTATCCTCATTTGGTTTTCGTTGCATCCCGACAACCCTTTTTGTGGATCGCCTCTGAGCTTTCTTCAGTAGGTTCGTGCCTATTTTAAATTTTTCTGGAGTAAAGATACCATGGACCTCCAAGTGGGGTCGTATGTAGGTCTTGTAGGGCTTCAGAGACGGCTCTGGGGTGAGGGCACATGGCCGCCTGCGCACAAACTGTAGTACACCTTTTGCTTTTGAGGCGTCACCTGGGTAATTGGAACTGGTGTCTAGTTTCTCCATCACCGTTAGGCCCAGGTCCTTTTCTGCTGAGGCTTGGGATAGACGTAAACCACAGAGAGAGTGGGATACCTTCTGAGGATCATGAGTGCGGAAGGACATGGGCCAGCACTTGCCCAAGTTAAATGCCAGTCCGTTATTTGTTGCCGATTCCTCTAGTGTTTTGAGGTCCTTCTGTAATGCAGTCGGTTCCGCTTCGCAAGTTTCTGCTCTCCATAACTTGACGTCATCAGCGTAGAGGATAACCGGAGAGCTGATATGCAGCAGAAGGTCATTCATGAACAGCAGGAATACCAGTGGACCCAGGATTGCTCCTTGTGAGGCATCGGACGATGATGCTCTTCAAGTTGGGCAGAAACTGTTGACTTTTGTGCGGAACCCCCTACCGTCTAAGGGGTTCTAAACCAACGATAGCATACGGTAGAGCATACCTAACCCAGCTGCCTTGTATATCGGGTTGGCGTACGAGACGCTGTCAAATGCTCTTGCGAAATCAGGAAAAATCGCATGGACCGGGGCCTTGAAATCCCAGCATGCTGTCCAGTGATCATGGGTCACCAGGAGGTTAGAGGCACTGGTACTACCCCTCCAGAAGCCATGTTGAGCGTCAGCGGGCGCTTGCTTCGTGTCCGGATATTCCCTTCAGCGGTCGCCTATCACACTTTCCATAACGTTTGATATAACTGGTGGAAGTGCTATCGGTCTATAACGATTTAGATTCTGTCCGTCTCCTCCTTTGAAGACAAGGGAGCGGATGGCCCGTTTCCACTCTCATGGGGGTTTTTGTTAGTCCGAGGAGTGTTGGACGAGACTGCAGGGCTGGCCACCAACAGTACTTGCACATTCTTTCAGCACAGATGGGTGAATGCCATCGAACCCTGGAGATTTTCCTGCCCACAGTTTTGATAGGTTGTGGAGATCGACAGCAAGGGTTATCTGTACTTCCTGCAACTCTACAGCGTCGGATAACTTTGCGAGCCGTTCGAGCAGCAGGTACGTATACTTTCCCGATTGAATGTGTAGCTATGTGTCAGATGTGGTGCTTACCATTCCTGCGATCTTCTGTCCAGTGAGGACTGCTCCGTTCGAACCCCTTATGACTCATACTCCCTTGCTTTTCCATTTTCCCCTTGCCATGAATCGGTTTTGGTTTTTGAGGTTTACCCCAAGCCTCTTGGTGGCGTTGGACTGGAACGACCTCCTGTTCCCCGCACCCGCATGTCGCTTCGATGCCGTGGAGTCATATATATGCCATGGCCGTCCTGCTCCCTAGAGAGTCTCCTTGTGTCCCATGCCCCTCTCTTGGCCTTTAGGAGGCTCTCCGTGCCTTGTTTTAGCCTCAAAGTCCGCTTTCCGAGTGTTGTTACCGCCAAGGGGGCGTTATGCGAGGCAGCCGCACCAACGAAGTCCCTTACCAGCATAGTGTTGGTCAACCGATAAGACCACCAACCAGCTGGACACAACTTAGCCCGGTTGACCAGTTCACTAATTACTGGCCGATCCTAAGCCCGGATAAAGAGGGGAGGGTGGGCATAGGGCTAGCAACCCTAACCCATAAAACCAATCTATTCACTAAAGAAACTTCAAAGCACAAAGTAAATATGAAAAATAAAATACAACTTATTCCTCGCTGGAATCGGAGAGACGGAATGACGCCAGTCGGTGAAAACCTTCGGGAAGCCGATTGGCCGGCGTGTCTTCCCTCGATGCAAGCGAAGCTAAGGAAGGGATATGGAATGTCCGAACCATGTATTAACCTACCAAAGCTACTCGTATTGCCGAAGAGATGAGAAGGTATATCATAGAAGTGCTGGGCTAGGAATCTGCGAGGAATCTTCAGAAGGAATGCAAATGGACTCTTCAAATTGTCAACTGGGGAACCAATAATCTTCTCCGATACTGTCACCCAGATGACAACCACGAGAACACTGAGTTTTGCAGTGGCTAGCATGATGTCCCCTTGAAGAGCATCGAAGGCTCTCATGCAGTGGGAACAAATCTCCTCCAGGATCATGACAGCAAGGTTCAACTCAAAAGGAAAGAAAGTTACAATCATACAATGGTACGCTATACACCTACAAATAATGCAGATGAAGAGAAGAAGGAGGAATTCTACAGGCAACTGCAATCAGTCAGTACTGGTCAAGACTCCAGTTGGCGATGGTGATACCAAAATTCTAATGGTTAGGGGTGACATGAATGCGAAACTGGGATCGGACAACACAGGAAGAGAACCAATCGTGGGTCAAGAAGCACTCGGTGAGATGAACGATAATGGAGAAATGTTTACGCACTCTTCAACTTACCTCAACCTTATCTACTTTGAGAAGGCTTTTGACAGCGTCGACCGAGAAGTAATTCAGAAACTGCCTGCTTCAACACTACGGACAATCATAAATCTTTATCAACATCATTCAACAGCTGTATGGAAAGGCCACATGCCAAGTGATCCACAGTGGACAGCCCTGTGACGCACCTGAAGTGAAGGCAGGAGTAAGACTGGTCTGTCTGCCATCACCTGTGATCTTCATGATTGTGTTCGACTGGAATGGATCATGCAACAGACAACCACGAGGAGCGAGAAGATGGAAATACTCTGTCTGACCTGTGTAAAGGGCTTAGAAGATTTCAATTTTGCCGCCGATTATGATTGGTGTTTAATGTCACACAAATTCGAAGATCTGCGGGCGAAAGCTAACAAGCTTACAGAAGGAGCTGCGAAGACGGGACTTCAAGTGAACATAGAGAAGACAGAGGTGATGAAGATACCCAACCAACAACAGCATCAACGACAGGCATCAGTCACCATTGATGGGAGAAACCTGAGGGGATCTGTCACTTTCACCTATCCAGACAGCTTCGTTTCAACTACAGGTGGCGGCACAGATGAGGATGTCAAAGCCAGGATCGGAGAAGCTGGGCAGGCTCTCATTAATCTAAAGCCGGTGTGGAGATCCACTGCACTCTACCCGGCACAAAGAACAAGATCCGGATTTTTAACACCAATGCACAAAGCGTGAACAACATCCGGATTTTTAACACCGATGTCAAATCACCGCTGCCATATGGTTCAGAAACTTGGCACTTCACGTAAAGCACTTCCAACAAACCACAGACATCAATGGCTGCCAACGCTCGACACTAAAGATCAAATGGCCGGGGAGAATAAGCTGTAAAGAACACTGGGAAAGAAACAAACAAGAACCTACCGCCCAACAAACATGCAGAAGGAAGTGGAGATGGGCTGGGCATACAGGGAGAATGCTGACCTAGGACATCACGCACCAGGCCGTAGATTGGAACCCGCACGGGAAGGAACGATTTGGGCATCGAGGCGACGATGACATGGAGGAGATCACTTGAGGAAGAAATGAAAGCTTATGGGCGTCGTGGCGCCTAGTCCAAAAGACTTTTGAGAACAGAGCGCAATGGAGGCGTGCCACTGAATCCCTATGTTCCATTAGGAACCCAAGGGGAAAATAAGCAATGACAACAATCCACTGGCTCCTGATAGGCTTTGGCTCATTCCTTCACATTTTACGCTGTTGTAATAGAGATAGGAGCAGGGTCCTTCCCACGATAATTGTTCACTGATCACTAGGTCGAACACCGGCGTGGCATGATAGCTACTTCCAAGAGGAGTTTAAACCTGAACGTCTTCAAGCCTGTGATGGTTGGTCAGTAGGTGATCCAGTTTAAGTGGTCTACCATCTGACCTCCAGCAGGCGTTGTAGCCAATTTTTCGGCTCGTTCCAGCCATTTAGGTGGCACTTAACAGGTTGCAATCGAACTTCCAGGTTGACAAAGGCGCCACCCCGCTCTAGGCTGAGAATTGGAGGGTTGAAGTCGCCAGCTAATAATATCTGGTCA